ATTGGTTGACTGCACCATTAAGAACACTGCGCATGTGATATATGTAGACAATCCCGTGCACACTGACACACACTGCATTTTTTTTTGCTCTAATGTAAGACTCATTTAAAAAAAAAAAAAAAAAAAAAAAAACAAACAACACACCACTATGATTAGGCTAAAGGGGATGATTTTGTTTTCTATTTAAAAACCGCATATTAAAAAGTGACTACATCTTGTAGAAAAATCGCTTTACAATATTCTTGTCTTTCATGAAAATATGATATATACTGCCTATTGCAAGCAACACACAGTGAACGTCGTTCAGTAAAACACTAGAGTAATGCCTGCTTTAGGACCCATTTAAGATAGTGGGGAACCCAACCCTGCCCACTTTGCTAAAACTCAAAACTAGAATTAGAGATGTCCAACTAATGGCAAACTTGACAGTGTGATTACTAGATACCTTGGAACAATGTAATAAGGTCTGGGTGCTACCACACCTAAGGAACACTCACTCTCAGAGCCGATTCACACGTATGCGAATTGGATGAGTTTTGAATGGCACCCAATTTGCATGGCATTGGTTTCAATTTTACCGTTTCACATATATGTGGTGCACTTGGAGGGCAGATTCAGTGCGAATTAAAAAAAAAAAAAAAAGATAAGGCAGCTTGTATTCAAGTTCTGGGAGGCCAGTTAAATACGCTCCATGCTGGACTGTGGTGAGGCCGGTGACTGAGCATCTTTTCCTTTCCATTTTTCTTTTTATTATTTCTGCCTATTCAAGCTTATGTTGCCTCTCTTTGTTATGCTGTTTTTATACCAAATGATTCAGGCGGATCTTTTGTCTGTTTTATCTAATAGTGACTGCAACTGGTTGGGTTCATCTCTAGATGATGATATAGAAAAAAAAAGGTATATGATCGATTTCTTCCTATGAAGCACAATGACATTGGCAGCAGAAAAATATGATTGAATTGTCCATATGTGTGAAACCTAAGGTGGAAATAAGAATGTACTTTATATTTACAGCACATTCTGCACCTGAGCTGGTTCGCATATACCAGGGGTACTGAATTACATTAGGTGTCCCTAACAGAGTGCCATTTACATCAGATGTCTCCCATCAAGAGTGCCCCTTCACATCAGTTTTTCCCACCACAGTGTCCCTTTCCATCATATGTGCCCATCAGATTGCCCTTCTATGTCATAGGGCAGCATAGTGGCTAAATGGTGAACACTTCCACCTGGCAACACTAGGGTTGTCGGTTCAAATACCAACCACAATGCCTTTTGCTACAGTATTCTGAGTGATAACTAAAAGCTTTGCTGATCTTCTTGTAGCCTTCATCTTTCTTGTGTAAATAAATTATTTTCTCTTTCTCAGACATTTCTCTTCCATGTGATGCCATTGCTGAAAGCATGAAATGGGACAGGGTTTTCTTTGTTAAGTAACAAACTTTTATAATCAGCTGTCTGCTGGACACCTGTTTAATGAATAATTAGACTCATCTGTAGCTGAATTCTTGTTAATTAGGATTTTAGCTTTGATCTTAATACTTTTATTGGGGCGTTTTCATTTTTGCAACATGGTCTTGAATGAATTTGTTAGGAAAAATACTTTTGAGTGCAAATTACCAAATCTTGTTTGCAATCAAAGGCCCGCATTTGTAGGAGTATTTTATAGTATAGTGTCTCATAGAAAATGTTGATTCTGAAAGGAAAGTTAAGGTTTTCTGACAAATCTGTTAGGGTGTACTCATTTATGCTGAGCATTACATCTATATGTAAAGCGCTGCATAAACTGACGGCACTATACAAGTACCTACAATAAATATGCGCCAAACAGAGTGCCCCTTTATATGTGCCCATCACAGTGCCCCTAGAAATCTCATCCATGTGAACAGCATACCTGGAGATGTCCAGTAGGCAGGCAGACACAGACAAAAGATGGGAGAAAGAAAGAGCTGCAAGGGGTGGAGATGGCAGAAGAAACAAGGTTCAGAAGTCGGGGTTGAGCAACTTGCTACAGGTACACATGTGATGTTATTGGTTGCTGGGACACCAGTGATCAAACGACTACTGAGCAACAGGAATCAGGTGCTGCAGATTGGTGGGCCAATGGTCTGGGCACCACTCAGACCATGTTTAGACCGCAGTCCGCCATTTAGTCCTCATGCACACTGAACGTTTTTACAGCTGCTGTTTTTGGCTTTTGACTTTTTTTTTTTTTTTTTTATATATATACAGCTAGTAAACCCCTCAGCATGTTATCCTATGTGTCCATGCACACAGACTGTAATCAACGTTTTTTTGGCAGGGACGTTTTTTCGCTGGAAGAAAAAAAAAAAACCCAGGACTAGTGGGTTTCTAGAGGAGTTTAGCTGTATAAAATGCTCCAAGACTCGGTAAAATGCCACAACCAACTTTTTGGATGGGTTTTTTTGGTACCAAAAAAAAAAAAAAAAAAAGCCGCTAAATGCTAATGCAATAAACACTAAAAACTCAGTTTTTAATGTGACTTTACACAGCTATCATTACCAGCGTTATCAAAACACCCAGTGTGCATGGAGACTTCATGAAGGCTGGCATATACTATGGATCCACATTATGGATCACTCTCCATGGACTTCTGGATTCTGTTGTGAATGGGTTACCTTTTATGACTTTCAGTAAAATGATTTCTGACTGGGTGTGATAGGTTACAATTTTTACTGTTTTTGACAGACAAATTTAAAAAATTGGTGAAAAAAAGATAACCGCCCACAATGAGGAGTGAAATAACTGCTACTAAAAATGACAGAATGACAGTCCCTTCAATCTTTATTAAGGACAAGACAGGTATCCCCTTTAGATGTTCTACTTCACCACAGCTGCAAATCTGGAATCACAATGAGTATGAAGAACAGAGCTTATGTTCAGTTTGCTTGCTTCTAGAAGTCTGTTCTACAGTGATTATATGAGTGTAGTGGAGCAAAAGAACGTGTAGCAGATGTCCCCCTGCTGTCACTCCATGTATGCAGGGACAGCATAGGCTGCAGACAAGGTATATGTAAGCAAAGCAAGGTTTACAAATACCATTCCTTTTGCTATCCCATCCAAGTCCTCATGCACACGGGACGTTTTTACAGCTGCTGTTTTTGGCTTTTGAGGTTTTTCTCTACAGCTAGTAAACCCCCCAGCATGTTATCCTGTGTGTCCATGCACACAGACTGGCTGGGACATTTTTTGGCTGGAAAAAAAAAAAAAAAAAAACCCCCAGGACTAGTGGGTTTCTAGAGGAGCTTTTTAGCTGTAAAAACACTAATGCTGTAAAACACAAACCGGCGTTTTTGGATTTTTGAAAAAAAACTTTATTGGGGGAAAAAAAGAAAAACCGCAAACGCGGAAAAAATTCAAACGTAGAAAAAACGCTGCAAAACGCCAATGCAAAAACACTACAAAACACTACACAGCTAATCAAAACCACCCAGTGTGCATGGAGCCTAACAGTAACCTCTTTATTGTTTCCTGACATACAGCCCTAGCAATACCTAGACAGCAGCTGTAAAAATTCACACAGATATCAACCTTTGGAAGGTAGGAGTGGTTCTTACACAATCTGTCTAGATGCAATGACATCATATCCTCTCTCAATGGGCTGGAACTTGATGACTAGCATGTGCAGTTATGAAGCTACCTATCTTTGAAGGGTGGGGGGCTGAAAAACAGTTCAGGTGCCTTCCACTAGATGTAAGATTAGGATAAAAAATGCCAGGTAACTGTCATATCAAACATGGAGTTACCCCACTAGTTTTTTTTTTTTAATCTCCAAAAGGGACTGTTAGCGTTGATGTGCTGAGAGACAAAGACTGAGGTTAACCCAGGTTCCTGTTCAGCTATGTCCACTAAAAGCCTTGACCATAAAGGGGTTTTTCCTTTAATACTAACAAGAAATTTTTCAAGAATTTCTGCCCTTGACTGATCCTAACAAGAAATGTAAAGTTAGCCGAAACTGGTCAGTTCACTTTTACAACATGACTTACTTACAGAACATGCAAGAGAAAAATGTGCTCAGATTTCATGAACATCAAGGCAATCTGATCTTGGGTTTACAGACTATTCACAGGCAAAAAAAAAAAAAAAAAAAAAAAACCCACACACCATACCCTTTATGCCCAAACAGAATGTACTTAAACTGGATTTCTGTATCTTCGTCTTAACAAGGACAGATATATGCTATGATACTACAGAAAATGGTACATTGTTTCCCCACATACAACACACTCATGCAAACTGCTGATTAAATTCACATTACAGGCAAAGCAAATCATTGGTAACCACTGTTGGAAAATGACCAACATCAACCTGATTGTGTCACACGCACAAAAAAAAAAAGAAAAGAAAAAAGCAGCACAGCCATCCTTGAAACATGCCCGCGCAATTAAAAAGGCATATTAAATCTCCAAGCAGTCCCAGTGCACTTAACAATTGTCTTCTTTAAAAGCTGCATTCATGCTTTTGTAACATGCTTTTCAATGGCACCTGTTCAAATTGCAGCAATTTATGATTTTGAAAAGGTGCCTGCACTGCTTTGGTGCATCTTTTGATGCGATGCTGATCCAGAGAACGTAAAAGTTGGATCAAAGTCGACTTGGAATGTGAATGGAGCCAAAAGCCTGCTGTGGTTTAGAAATAAAGAATGTTTTATTCCTGTCAGTGCTGTCTGTAGCTGTACCCCAAAATGTTGGGTGTTCCAATAGGGAAAGTGGGCTACAGACAGAACTAAAGCCACAGACCCTTCTCGCTTTTTAGCCTGGTCCCTCTTCTGCTCCCTTTGTACTACCTGGCAGCTGTGGGAAATTGTAGGTTCAGAGGGTCAGGGCTAATGACAATCAGGCCTGCAGAGGTACAGAGGAGGCAGTAGCTGTGTGCTGGGTGTTTATACCCCTTCAACCTCTTTGGGCTGTCACTCAGAAGTCCATATCCTTGTTATAGTACAATCAAGTAGCGGTGGCTGAATGGTCAGATCGGTAAAGGGGGCCATAGAACAGGGCTTGAAATTTCCACTCGCCTGCTTGCAATGGCGAGTGGAAATTATGGTGGGGGGGCGAGTGTGTCCCCCAGGGCCGTCTTGCTGAGCAGGCTCGGAGCTCAGGCCGGATCTGTCATTGGCACTGAAAGCCGTCAAGACCGCTCAATAGCTGAGCGCAGTGAAAGCAAAGGAAGGAGTGTGTGCTGTGCTCTCTGCCTCCCCCTAGAGTGCAGTACCCGGCTCTGTGAGTGAACAACGAAGTACTGCAACTTTTTATGGGGGGGGGGGGTGTACACGTGTGTTTGTGTGTCTCTGTATGCATATACAGTTGTAGATGTGTCTGTGTGTATGTGTCTGTACATGTGTGCGTTTGTATGCAAGTACGTACATGTTCCTGTGTATGTATGTACATGTGTAGTTGCGTATTACTGTGTATGTACATGTATCTGTGTGTATGCGTGCCTGTGTGTATACATGTGTCTGTGCATACAGGTTTCTGTGTGTGTATGTGTGTATGTACATGTGTGTTTGTGAACAGGTGTCTCTGTTTGTGTTTGTTGGTGGTGAGTAACTAAGGCCTGGCTAGTAGCTCAGGACTAAAAATTTTAAACCCTGTCATAGACGATGAGAAAATCGAACAAAAATTCTGAATTGTTCATTTTTTGCATCCTTAGTGTGCCAGATGTTATTTAGTGCCTCAGCCAAAAGTGCCTGATCCAACACGATGGATATTAGAAAGCTAAATTGATAGCACAATCGTATGAACTATTTTTGCTTTTCGCTCAACAGAACTTTTGGATTTTGACTCGTCTATGGCCTGGTAAAGTGCGTTGGAAAGCTTTTCAATAACGCAGCTCAGCAACCCCAGCACAGGTTTGCTATGTGCACCACAGGGTCCCCTGAGAGAATCAACCAGCCTTTTTAAATTTAGGAAAAGAGTTCTTTAAAGATTACATTCTTTCAGATAATTCCTTTATGCCAAAATACAGTGGTTAGCGATTCACATGTGCCATTTCAGCTTTGCCAATTAGGCAGGAAATCCAACTATTGGTTGTGCAACTAGTATGCCCATCGATCAGCTGTTTGAGTAGAAGTGCCAAGCAGCTCCACTTGGACAGTACCTGCAGCAGGAAAGGGAAGCATCACAGAAGCCAAGTAAAATTCTCCTAAATTACCCCAGTCAATTTAATTGGACCATCAGAGTGGATTTTGTAGCCTTCCTGTGCCAGCATACTATACAGAACTGTGTATTAAATAAGGTGGCACATATTACAATCGCCAAAAGCTCCAGACAAAATCATCAAAATATGACATGGTAGACAAAGGAGACCTGACAAAATTTTAAAGTCCTACTCTAGACTGCAGTTTATTTAAAAAAAGAAAAACACACAACAGTTTTCACTGCTGCATGTGTCCTTGTTGGGGAGATTTTCCCCTTCTTGATCCAGAACCAAGGGGTCAGAGGGACAGGACGGACACTAATGAGGACATAAAACAAAAAAAGGAGGAGTATCAGGAGGACACTTCAATACAAGAATCCCTGTTGCTGGCTGCAAGATACCATGGAATATGCAGTCATTACAAGTTAAAACCTAAACCAAAAGGAATGAGCAGAGGACAGCCAGCACTCACAACATGAAAGGAGACTTGCTTTTTTTTTTTTTTTTTTTTTTTTTTTTTTTTTGAGTAAGCTCATATTGAATTGTCAAACATAACTATCAAGTATTGCTATTAAAGTGTTACTAAACCCACAACAGTAAAATCAGTCTGTATATGCAGTAAAGCATGCTTGTTATATTCACTGTGGAACTTAAGGGGTAATCCTCTACACTGTGTAAAAAGGCTGTTTTGATCCAGTCTTCTCTGATCTGCCCCTTCTACTGTCCCCAATCCATCTGCTGATAAAACAAACCTTGGGGGCAAGCTGTACATGCTCAGTTTAGTTTGCATTGCTAGAGTATTTTTTTCTTGGGAGAGTGCAAGTGATCAACACAGAGCCAATCAGCACTGTCCAGACAGAGGGTCAGGGGTTATGCAGCCTCATAGGACAATCCGGGGAGAATGAGAATTCCTACAAGCTTTAACCAGTGCTCTGCTGGACACTGATAGAAGTCACAAGACTGCTCTAACTGCTGATGAGAAAAGGTATTTAGCAGGTCATATTTACTAAAATAATTGCACTTCCATGTTCTGTGTACTGTGGGAGACCAGATATAGTGACTGCAGGGTCCTGGGTTTAGTAACACTTTAAATGTTAATATCGTACAATGAAAGTGGTAGGCAACCTTAAAGAAGTACAGATCTATGTGAACAACATGAGTGAAGTCAAAGATTACTGCGCACAATGTCGCCTACTCAGACCTGTTTTAATCTCCAATTGCCATTGCACGGCAATCATGGTTTAAATCAGTTTATGGGGGAAGATTTACTAAAACTGGAGCACTTAGAATTTGGTGCAGCTGTGCATAGGAGCTTCTAACTTCAGCTTGTTCAATTAAGCTTTGACAACAGAACCTAGAAGCCGATTGGTTTCTATGCAGAACTGCACCAGATTTTGCATGCTCCAGTTTTAGTAAATCTCCCCGTGTGTACTGAACTGACAAGTTATGCCATATAATGTATTCCTTAATACCATTTCAGAGCTAGATACTAGGCTTTTGCATGCTTTCAACAAGGCTTTTTACCTTCACGCATTCTAATTCTATGCATGAAGGTAAAAAGCTCCTGTGTGCAGCAGCTCCCCCAGCCCCCTCAATGCTTACCTGAGCCTCATCAGAAAACTGAATGACTGTCTCGGCTGTCCCGGGTCTCTGCCTCTGCTGAGACCGTTGTCAATCACAGCCAGCCAATGAGGAGAGAGAGGGACGAGGCCATCTGAATAAACACATGACGCAGCGGGTGCTCCCCAAAAGCAAGCTGCTTGCTGAGGGGGCACCCGACAGGAGGAGCAAGGAGAGTCTGTGGGGGACTCGAGAAGAGGAGGATCCAAGCTGCTCTGTGCAAAACCACTGCACACTATAAGTATAGACATGTTTGCATTTTTTGGGAAAATAAAAAAAACCTTTAGAAGTCGCTTTAAAAATTGTATTGCTGACTCAACGTATTACCAGGAAATGGGTTTGGCTGCTATACGTATAGTTTTCTTATCCTAATTTCTCCAATGATGTGTTGAGATCATCCTACCAGTGAAATCAAGATTTCTATGTGATGAGCTACCAAGCACCACTGCAAACATGATTAAGTCAGTCAATCATTTACATGTTAGAAGCAAAGAGATACTATGCATGCCAAAACTGGAAACCTAAAACTAGCAGACCAGCTGCCAAACAAGAATCAATCTGTCCACACAGAAAAGAAGGCAATCAGAAGATTCAACCACCAAACAACTGTTCCTTAGAACAATTGTGGCAGAATTCTGTACATTCATAGCCTCTATCTACACATGGGGACATCCACGGATCACAGATTAAACATTCAATTCACTTCAAATGTCTAGTTTTCTTACAAGTACAATAAATCCTGCATGTTAATTACATCTTTTTTCCGATTAGCCACAAAAAAAAGCCCGGTGTTGTGTCAAGGTGGTGGTGTTGGGCATATTGTAACCAGGCTTTTTGGTGGCATTGGCACAGTAATCTTCTCTCTGCAAACCGATCATGCAGCTCATTTTTATACAAGCATCATCATATTGTATTACTTGAAACAACCACACTGTCTTTTTCCAGAGCAGCCTGCATTTCTCCAGAGGTTTCCTGTGGGCTTTTCTTTGGATTCTGAACAATTCTTCTGGCAGTTGTGGATGCAATTTTTCTAGGTCTACCTGACCTTGGCTTAGTATCAAGTGATCCCTGATCTTTCCACTTGAAGTGTGATTGACTGGCATTTTCAAGACTTTGGATATCATTTTACATTCTTTTCCATCTTTATAAGTTCTATTACCTTGTTAAGCACGGCTTTGGACAGTTCCTTTCTGGTCTCCATGGCTCAGTATCCACATAAGAGCTAACAAACTCACTGAATATTTATACACAGACACTAATTGCAATCGTGTCTGTACGAAGGCCAAACATTCCAGGGTATGTAAACATTTGATCAGGGCCATTTCTGTTATGGTGTGTGTGATTATAATGTGTGTATGTACACACATATATCCTGAATAATAATATATACATACACACACCTTATCAAGCAATTTTTTTTATTATCAAGATTGTAGAACTACAGCAAAAACCTGACAAAAAAAAAAAAAACGAACAATCTGGCTTTTGAAAACTTGATTGGTTTTAATCTTAGATGTTTTAGCAAGAAATTATAAATAAAATAATGATCCGCAGACACTGAAGCATTATTTCGGCCAAAGCATAGCAGCACAGTGCCTTTATTTAAAGTTTCTTTTCAATGCTCCCTCATACCCACTAGTAAAAATTAAACACACCAAATCAAGAAAAAAATGTCCACATATAAGTCCAAAATGTATAGAGTCAAAATAAAATAAAATAAAATAAATGTCCAAAAAAATATTAATGCTTTCCAATAATTAGTGCTTTTCAGACGTTTTAAGAAACAGTCCCCTTTGCCGAATTCCAATCCAGGACCTCAAATTCAGAATACCTCAAAAAAATAAAACTCAATATAGTGTATTATCATTACAATAAAGAAAAACACTCGTGAAGACTAAAAGTGATTCCTCCAGGGCTATCACCCGTGGTGAAGACTAAAAGTGATTCCTCCAGGGCTATCACCCCGTGGTGAACAACACTCCAAAAGTGATAAAGTGCAGCACTCACACTAGTGTTACCATCCAAATGGGCTAATACCATTACCCTCTAAGAAAATATATAGTGTCATCTCTCTTGTGAGAATAAAAACTATTACCCTCTTGCAATGTAGGCCAAGCAAAATTCCTTCCAAACAGACCAGAGTTTACCCTCTTCAGAGGCTTCTATTTTCTCCCAATCCTTCTTCCCAGTTCCTCAAACAGGGGGGCAGATAGTACACAACTCAGTGAAGTATATATAAAAGGATTCACAATTTATTACAATCTTACATTGAAAACGCCAACGTCCATCCTCTCTCACAGTCCATAACTATGAATTCCAGTGTTCAAGATGGCCGTGCCGCTACTTCCGGTTTGAAATCGTATAGACGTGACATTAGGTTCCCTTCTTCCAAGTAGACCACCCCCCATCAGTGCCTCCAGGCAACTAGACCAGTCATAGCCCCCGAACCTCCATAAATGAGATCCTTTGTAAATCCCTCAGGTGCTGTGTATTCTCCCCTCTCCACAACCTCTCATAGGTGAAAAACCTATGAGAGGTTGTGGAGAGGGGAGAATACACAGCACCTGAGGGATTTACAAAGGATCTCATTTATGGAGGTTCGGGGGCTATGACTGGTCTAGTTGCCTGGAGGCACTGATGGGGGGTGGTCTACTTGGAAGAAGGGAACCTAATGTCACGTCTATACGATTTCAAACCGGAAGTAGCGGCACGGCCATCTTGAACACTGGAATTCATAGTTATGGACTGTGAGAGAGGATGGACGTTGGCGTTTTCAATGTAAAGATTGTAATAAATTGTGAATCCTTTTATATATACTTCACTGAGTTGTGTGTACTATCTGCCCCCCTGTTTGAGGAACTGGGAAGAAGGATTGGGAGAAAATAGAAGCCTCTGAAGAGGGTAAACTCTGGTCTGTTTGGAAGGAATTTTGCTTGGCCTACATTGCAAGAGGGTAATAGTTTTTATTCTCACAAGAGAGATGACACTATATATTTTCTTAGAGGGTAATGGTATTAGCCATTTGGATGGTAACACTAGTGTGGAGTGCTGCACTTTATCACTTTTGGAGTGTTGTTCACCACGGGTGATAGCCCTGGAGGAATCACTTTTAGTCTTCACCACGGGTGATAGCCCTGGAGGAATCACTTTTAGTCTTCACGAGTGTTTTTCTTTATTGTAATGATAATACACTATATTGAGTTTTATTTTTTTGAGGTATTCTGAATTTGAGGTCCTGGATTGGAATTCGGCAAAGGGGACTGTTTCTTAAAACGTCTGAAAAGCACTAATTATTGGAAAGCATTAATATTTTTTTTGGACATTTATTTTTATTTTATTTTATTTTGACTCTATACATTTTGGACTTATATGTGGACATTTTTTTCTTGATTTGGGTGTTTAATTTTTACTAGTGGGTATGAGGGAGCATTGAAAAGATACTATTTATATTGTGTTTGCACTTTCAAGGGTGAGAGTGATACTTTTCATGAGGGAAATTTAGAGTCTGTATATATATTTATTTAAAGTTTATGGAGGCCTCAACATGCGAGTGATACCGCTTATCCTGCCCTTGTGTTCCAATGTCCCAAGGTAATATATACAGAAAAAAAAAAAAAAAAAAAAAAAAAAAGGAAGAAGGAGGACATAGGAAGCAAAACACGTTTCAAGGTTAAGAGCTTCATATCTCTTACCTGAACCCAGCAAATGGTAAATATGTTCCTGCTCTTCTAACCATAAATACAACTCAAATGAACCATGCAATGAAGATCTCTGTTACCAACTCCATCTGTATCTATTTGGGTTTTGTCTACAGTAAGAATCAAATAGGCAGGGCCTTGCTTCACCTCTGACCCCCAAAACCATCCGAGCATCTGTTCTTTAATAGCAATGTTTGAATGCAGAAGAGGAAAAAAAATAGTGAAAATACTAGAGATCATCTTAAGGATTATGTTGTAACAAGTTATTGGTAAAACATACATTATATATATATATATATATATATATATATATATATATATATATATATATATACACACACACACACACACACACACACACACACACACACACATATATATACATATACACACACACACAGTGGGGCAAAAAAGTATTTAGTCAGCCACCAATTGTGCAAGTTCTCCCACTTAAAAAGATGAGAGAGGCCTGTAATTGGCATCATAGGTAGACCTCAACTATGAGAGACAAAATGAGAAAAAAATCCAGACAGACAATCACATTGGCTGATTTGGAAAGAATTTATTTGCAAATTATGGTGGAAAATAAGTATTTGGTCACCTACAAACAAGCAAGATTTCTGGCTCTCACAGACCAGTACCTTCTTCTTTAAGAGGCTCCTCTGTCCTGCACTCATTACCTGTATCAATGGCACCTGTTTGAAATGTTATCAGTATAAAAGACACCTGTCCACAACCTCAAACAGTCACACTCCAAACTCCACTATGGTGAAGACCAAAGAGCTGTCGAAGGACACCAGAAACAAAATTGTAGACCTGCACCAGGCTGGGAAGACTGAATCTGCAATAGGCAAGTAGCTTGGTGTGAACAAATCAACTGTGGGAGCAATAATTAGAAAATGGAAGACATACAAGACCACTGAGAATCTCCCTCTATCTGGGGCTCCACGCAAGAACTCACACCGTGGGGTCAAAATGATCACAAGAACGGTGAGCAAAAATCCCAGGACCACACGGGGGGACCTAGTGAATGATCTGCAGAGAGCTGGGACCAACGTAACAAAGGCTACCATCAGTAACACACTACGCCGCCAGGGACTCAGATCCTGCAATGCCAGACGTGTCCCCCTGCTTAAGCCAGTACATGTCCGGGCCCGTCTGAAGTTTGCTAGAGAGCATTTGGATGATCCAGAAGAGGATTGGGAGAACGGTATATGGTCAGATGAAACCAAAACAGAACTGTTTGGTAGAAACACAACTCGTCGTGTTTGGAGGAGAGAGAATGCCGAGTTGCATCCAAAGAACACCATACCTACTGTGAAGCTTGGGGGTGGCAACATCATGCTTTGGGGCTGTTTCTCCGCAAAGGGACAAGGAAGACTGATCCATGTACAGGACAGAATGAATGGGGCCATGTATCGTGAAATTTTGAGTGCAAACCTCCTTCCATCAGCAAGGGCATTGAAGATGAAAACGTGGCTGGGTCTTCCAACATGACAATGATCCCAAACATACCACCAGGGCAACGAAGGAGTGGCTTCGTAAGAAGCATTTCAAGGTCCTGGAGTGGCCTAGCCAGTCTCCAGATCTCAACCCCATAGAAAACCTTTGGAGGGAGTTGAAAGTCCGTGTTGTCCAGAGACAGCCCCAAAACATCACTGCTCTAGAGGAGATCTGCATGGAGAAATGGGCCAACATACCAGCAACAGTGTGTGCCAAACTTGTGAAGACTTACAGGAAACATTTGACCTCTGTCATTGCCAACAAAGGATATATAACAAAGTATTGAGATGAACTTTTGATATTGACCAAATACTTATTTTCCACCATAATTTGCAAATAAATTCTTTCCAAATCAGCCAATGTGATTGTTTGGATTTTTTTTCTCATTTTGTCTCTCATAGTTGAGGTCTACCTATGATGCCTAATACAGGCCTCTCATCTTTTTAAGTGGGAGAACTTGCACAATTGGTGGCTGACTAAATACTTTTTTGCCCCACTGTATATGTATATTATATATATCCATCCATGCGCCAACTCAGAAGTTGAACCAGAGAAGTATAGAAAAGGAAAAAAAAGAAAGGAAGAAGAGGTAGGTGGGATGGAGAGATCTCGGAGCACACAAAAACCTATTTTTCAAATCAGTTATCTATAAAACAAAATTTCCTATTAACCAGGAAAATATCAAACACTGCATATGAAAGTTTCAAGTTCACCACTTGCAGCCTGCAGGTGGCACACTTACGGCTACTCTGGAGCTCTTCTATCTGATTTACATCGAAGGTGTTAATAGCCTGGCAAACATATATTGGGGACACAAACAGGAAATAAAATGTTACACACACAACCTAATGACAATCAGGAAACAACCGCTATCCCTAAAGACATTGACCAATATTGACCTTTAGCTACATAGAGGCAGTCAACAAATTAGAAAACAAAGCTGGGCGTTCTTATTAGAAGCTCTGCATCCTTTGTTAACCAATTGCTCCATTAACACCTTGCATTAAAAGGATAAGTTCACATTTTAAAAAAATAAACTCATCTTTTTGCAAAGAAACACTTTTTTTTTTTTTTTTTTTTTTTTTTACTAGAGAACATTGCACCAGAGGTCAGCAGATCACGGATGCCAGGCAAGACTCCTGTAGACTTCTCAGTATATCTGTGTATGAGCAAGCAGATACACACTGACAGGAAGAGAGGATGAACTTCCAGAGCACTCAACAGCACCGTGGTGGTTAATTGAGAACTACAAGCCGAGAGTTGCAAAGACTGGCAGTACTTTTAGTTTTATATTCACAGAATCCTGTGAATGAATGATGTGGCTGGGCGGGCAAAGTCCCACTCAGCCGTCTTTTAACTAGTTGCCGACCGCAGATAGCCGAATGACGGCTTCACTGCAGCTGGCCAGTTCTGGGTAGACGTCATATGACGTCCCCCCAGAACGCGCTCTCTTGCGCGCCCCAGGGGGGCGCGCACCCGGCGATCTCCGTGATCGCTGTGTCCTACGGACACAGCTGATCACAAGATGTGGTAAAAGGCCGATCATACCGGCCTTTTACCACGTGATCAGCGGTGTCCAATGACACGCTGATCAGAGGGAAATGCAAGTGCCGGTTCTCGGCTGCACTTTCCTCACGCTGTCAGATCGTGAGGAAAGTACTGCCGAGAACCGGCAGTTGTCAGAGCGAGGATTGGCACCCATCATCAGGGCCACTGATGATCAGTGCCCTGATGATCGGTGCCCAGCAATGCCACCCACAAGTTCCGCCCACCTGTGCCCAGCAGTGCACCCACTAGCTCCGCCCACCTGTGCCCAGCAGTGCACCCACCTGTGCCACTCTGCAGTGTCACACACCTGTGCCCAGAAGTGCCACCTACCTGTGCCCCAGCAGTGCCACCCTCCTGTGCCCACCCACCTGTGCTCACCAGTGCCACCCACCTGTGCCACCCACCTGTGCCCACCCACCAGTGCCACCAGTCAGTGCCACCAGTCAGTGCCACCAGTCAGTGCCACCAGTCAGTGCCACCAGTCAGTGCCCAGCGGTTGTGCCAGTCAGTGCCGCCAGTCAGTGCCCAGCAGTGATGCCAGTCGGTGCCATCTATCAGTACCCATCATCAGTGCCGCATATCAGTGCTGCATATTAGTGCCGCCTATCCGTGACACCTCATTAGTGCTGCCTATCAGTGCCGCCTATCCGTGCCACCTCATTAGTACTGCCTATCAGTGCCCTTTAGTGCTGCCTATCAGTGCCCATCAGTGCCGCCTATCAGTGCCCATCAGTGCTGCCTCATCAACGCACATCAGTGAAGGAGAAAAAATACCTGTTTGAAAAATTTTATAATAGAAACAAAGAAACTTTTTTTTTTCTTCAAATTTTTTGCACTTTTTTAATTTATAGCGCAAAAAGTAAAGCGCCCAGTGGCGATTAAATACCACCAAAAGAAAGCTCTATTTGTGAGAAAAAAATTATCAAAAATTTCATATGGGTACAATGTTGTATGACCGCGCAATTGTCAAAGTGCGGCAGCGCTGAAAGCTGAAAATTGGCCTGGTAAGGAAGGGGGTATAAGTGCCTGGTAGGCAAGTGGTTAAACGTTGCTTGCTAGTAAGGGGAGAAGATCCCCCTCTAGCTGTCACTAGATGCAATGGAGCAGGCGGCGGCTCAGAGAGTGGGAACTTGTTACATGTTCTACCCTAAAAAGGGGTGGAATACATAAAATATTCCCAAAAGGTGACCGTATCCTTTAAACCTTTGCAAATATTTGCCAAATAAGATTTCATACACAAAAAAAAAAAAAAAAAAAGTACAAGTGCAATAAAAACTGACCAAAAATACCCCAATGTCCAAGTAAAGCCTGTGACCTCTCTAATGACTCTGTACAACCAGCTAGAAGTAGTCTTCCCTGACTAGATATCAGACAAGGTGATCACCAAAATGTGTCAGTCCATCACAAAGATGGACTGTTCATATAAAAAACAATAATCTACAACACATTGAAAAAGTATCCAAAATCATATAAACAATATCTAAAAAACACGAATGTTCCTTTAGCTTTTGAAAAAGTGATATGCTAACTCAGTACATGAAAGAAAAACTGAAAGTGTTACTAAACTTACAACAGTAAAATCAGTCTGTATATGCAGTAAAGCATGCTTGTCATACTCGCTGTGGAACCTAAGGGGTTAATCCTCCCCAATGTGTGAAAACGCGATTTGATCCCGACTCTTCTCTGATCCTCCCATTCTGCAAGTGTCCCCCTCTTACCTCCTGATAAGACATTGTGTGAAACCATTCTGCACATGCTCAGTTTGGTATGTATTGCAAGAGGTGTTTTTTTTTTCTTGGAAGAGTGCATGTGATCAGTACAGGGCTAATCAGCACTGTCCAGAAAAAGGTAAGGGGTTCTGCATCCTCCTAAAGCAGAAAGAAAACTCCTCCTACAAGCTTTAACCAGTGCTCTGTTGGACACTGATAGTCACAAGACTGCTCTAACTGCTGATGAGAAAACGTATTTAGCAGTTTATATTTACTAAAATAATTACATTTCCATGTTCGGTGTACTGTGGGAGACCAGATATAGTGAATGCAGGCTCCGGGGTTTAGAAACACTTTAAAATAAACCTATCATGAGAGATAAAGAGTGAAAGTTCTCTTACTTTAAAGTGTATTTCCACTTTTGCAGCCAAATTGGGATAACAGCCACGTTGGACAGCATTTGTTACATGTACACATAGTAGAGTTAAAAATATATATTTCAAAATTGCTGCTTAGACACTTTTATGGCAACTCCAACACTGAAGGATTTCACTCTGCCTATGAGGGAGCTGTTTTTATACGTAATCCTCTATATACTGTGCTGGCCAATCTCATAATCAATTGTACACCAGATCTGAACACTGCTCTACTAAAATGTTCCAATATTTAAAATTTGGGCTTATTGAATTGTATGTTAAAAGAAAACTCATCAGGTCCTGAGCCTGTTAGGACCAACAATGGGACAATGGGGTCAATTCACTCTCCAAAGACATGCAGGTAGGTTAATTGGCTCCTGTCCAAATTGGCCCTAGTATGTGTAAGTTTGAACATAAGTTAGAGACCTTAGATTGTACGCCCCTTGAGGGTTAGGGACTGGTGTGAATGTACAATATGTATGTAAAAGCGCTGCGCAAATTGATGACGCTATATAAAGTACCTGAAATAAATAAAATAATAAATTCAAGATAAAGATAAATACTGCATGATTTTTTTTAAGTTAAAATAACTCATGCGGTATTTCAAAAGTAGTCAATTCACTAAAAAAAAAAAAAAAAAAAAATCGCGTTATTTACCAAATACGTTAAACATTTATGTTTGGTGATATTTAGCACTTAAATTTTGCGTGCTGTTTTTTCACAGTTTTATTTTTTGCAGGCTAACACTGCACCGAAGCACACAGCAATTATGTGAAACTATGAAAACATTCTAGTGTGCTTTCATTCTCCCTCTGATGAAATGTCATTTATTTTCATACCTGAGCCCAGAAGAGAATATTTTCACATTGATACATTGTCTACTTCTCACTTTCTGGCCAATGCAGAGTTCCTCTGTTATTTGTACATTTCTAAAACACCACCAGCAAACACCAGGTGATAAGTAACGAATGCGTACGTTTAATGAACTGACTTTAAATGACTTTTTTTCTGTATTTATCTCACTATTTTAACAAATGTGCGGTATTTACCTCAGATTCGATATTGTACTTTGATGAATTGACTCATTATCTAATGCGATATTTCTGAAAAATGAGTCGTGTGACCTTCATAACACATGCGGTAAGCTTTAGTGAATTGACCCCAATGTATCTTACACTATTGGGACCCCTTGACTGCATAGTAATTTGCTTTTAAAAACGTGAAGTTGGCTTTTAACTTTTTCTGTTTTAACATTTGTCTGCCTTCTTGTTAACATACAATGAAACTGACAGAAGAAGAAAGAAGGAGAGGCTGGGCCAAACTTTCACGGATAGTTATAATTTTCATATACCTACCGCTGATGGTATCCCTGGATCTATTGACATTCTGATGTATTCTGCACTTTTACATCATATGCATAGGGCTTGTGATTTTAAAAGGTTCCTTTCATATAACCTTTTCAAAAGACTCCTTACCTGATGTCACTGAGATTTTTTTTTTTTTTTGTAGAAAAGGATTTCCTTTCTTTAGAAAGGACTACTGCCCTCAGGCCTTAGCCAGCTCATACCTCCAATCACAAGTTGCTGGATCAGAGGCAGAGCTAGTCTCTGCCCCACAAATGTAACACCATCATACACAACGCATCCTCACACCACGTGCATCCAGGGTCCTCAAAAAATCTTTATCGTTCCAGATGGTCAAGATAAGACCCGTCTGTATTCATCCACTATGAATCCTTACACCCAACAAGTAGGCTTAATCTTAACAGTCCAGTGTACAATCCTTTCCAAAGCTTGAATGTCTGCTATAAAAATTGCACACTTATTTAACCACACAAAAAAAAAAAAAAAAAAGTTTTCAGACTAAGGTTTTGAAAGATATCTAATATTAATTTCTAAAATGTGACCCAGGTTAAACACAGACTAAATAAATCCTTCTACAGAAGATGTACCCCTTTATCTGCAGTCTTCTCTTCTCGAAATCTGTTAAAGTGCAGAATTTATAAAGCTCACTAAGCTTTCCGAAATAGGGGCAGAGAGCTGAAATTACACTCTGCAGAACTCTGTGAGACAATCCAAGAGCCAATTGGAGGGGTGTATTTACAAGGCAAACAAGGCATTTTCCTAGGGTGGCATTTTTCAGGGGGGCAGCACCACCCCCTGGAAGAAGGGATGGAAGAAGGAACACAAGCGGCATGGGGACCAGGTGGGATCCAAGAGAGGTTGCGGGCTGCTTGATGGTGTATGCAGAGCCCGACTCTTGTTTCCAGGGATGTCCGGAGCTGTGAAGGAGAGTGTCTTTCTTGATGAGGGAGGTATTGTGGAAGGCTCTCAGGAGGGGTTGGCAGGGGTGTTGTTGGTCAATGTCAGGTTCTCTCCATTGGAGGGGGGGGCGCCCGATATTTGTGTTGCCTAGGGCAGCACAAAACATAACTACACCTCTGCCCACACTGGTCACCTTTTTATTTCTTGGTGTCAGAAAAACTTGTCAGAAGTAATTCATGCTGATAGAGGAATGAAGCAGCAGACAGAGATTCCATTTAAGTGCTCTTAAGTTAAACAAGGACATACTATAGAGCAGGGGTAATAAATGAAAATTCACAGAGGTCTGGTAGGTAGAATTTCTCTCTAGTAGAGGTCCGGATCTCATGTTTATGCTATAACTCAGACTCCCTTTTCATTACAGTCCCCCAAATACATCATAGCACAATCATTTTACATCACAGCCCCTCTTTACAATACAGACCCCCATGTTTACGTCACAAACACCCTTCACTGCAGTCCCCCCTTTTGCATCACAGTCCCACCATTCCTTTTATAGCAGTCCCATTTTTACATCCCAGCCCCCCCCCCCTTTACATTACAGTCCCTACCCCCTTTACATGGCAGCCCCCATCTTTACATAACAGTACTCCCCTTTGCAAGGTGAAACTGGGAAACAGGGTTGCAGTCTCCTATCTTTACACCAGTCTCACCCCCATCTTTACTTGGCAGTCCCCCTTTACATCAGTTTCCACTTCACATTTAGGACCCCCTTCACATAAAAGTATCCCCCTTTACATTGCAGCCCCCCCCTCCCCCATTACACCCAGCACTCACTTACTTTAAAATTAGTGTGCTCGTCCCCCCCTCTATTTGTCCTACCTTTCACAACAGAGGATGGGAGGTACGATCTTCCCAACCTCTCCTGTTAACAAGTGAATGATTGGTTGCTAGGACTGCCCTTTTTCTTAACAAATCAACCAGCAGCTGCCACCCTCCATTCAGACTGCACCGTGAAGACAACAGCAGAAGCAGCGGCGGAA